CAGACAGACAGACAGACAGAGAGAGAGACAGAGAGAGACTGAGAGAGAGAGAGAGAGAGACAGAGAGAGAGAGACAGAGACAGAGAGAGAGACAGAGAGAGAGAGAGAGAGGGAGGGAGGGAGAGAGAGAGAGAGACAGAGACAGAGAGAAAGACAGAGACAGAGACAGAGACAGAGAAGTGCTGTAAAGCCCACAAATCTACACGTATTTCTGCTTCACAGTTGATGGCGGTTCTGTGACAGTTGTGACAATGAGTGGAAAGACGATGGCGATTCCGTGCTGTGGTGAGACAACTGTCTTGGAACTGAAACGAATAATCTGGGAGCGGGAAGGCTCACCCATTGAGCAGCAGCGACTTGTCTACGACGGTATTCAGTGTGAAGATCAGGCCACGCTCCATGAGTATCATGTGGCGGACAGTGCCAAGATTTATCTGGTTCAGCGACTCCGAGGTGGGGGTGCGGCAGAGGCTGAACTGGCGACAGGTAAGCTGTTATGACCTTGTAATTTGACCCTTCATCTTCCGCCTCTGTGCCCTTTAGCTCCTTTGTATAACTGCTAGATTCAAGCCACGAAATACAGGACTAAGTAGGGGATTGCTGGGTATGGGTGAAGTACAGTGTGGCTTTATGCCACGGTGGCGCTGCGCTTGTCGTGAAGGCGAATCCGGGCCGGGTCACTCTGAAGAGACCTCGCTGGCCAACGGGGCTCTGGTGAAGTTATGATGGGCCTAGCCAAGTCGGTAATGGATAAAAAAAACTGCTACAAACCAAAGAAAGGAGGGACAGAAACGGACAGACTCTATTAAAAATCCCCCCCCCCTCTTTTATTCCCCTAGGGCCTTTAATTGATATTCAATAAGTTTAAGAACACCACAGGATTCACTTTCTCTCGGGCTCTAGCGGAAAAAGGAATGGAAACATCAGAAGGACGCGAGATAGAACAACGAAAATTGGAACATGGAATAAATGTGAATTAGGAGACAAGGAACCACAAATCATTGATTTCATGGAAGCTAGAAAGATTGAGATCCTGGGAATTATTGCTGGTGTCAGGAAAAAGAAGTCCAACAGCAAACAGGTGTACAAGAACTACATTATCTTACTTTGGAGCGGAACAAAAGGAATAGAGAGAGCAAAATATGGAGTTGGCTTTATTGTAATTGTTCACCCAGAAAGAGCAAAATGTATAACAGATGTAAAGTATATGATCTCAGAGTGGATCATCATGATGAAAATGTCAGGAGAGATAAAACAAACCCACCTATATATACAGAAATATGCACCATGCAATGACTCATACCCCGAAGAACAGCGATAACAGTTCTATGATCAACTGAGTGATCTTTTAAACTCCGTGGATGACAAAGATAATGTGACAATTATGGGGGACTTTACCGACAGAGTGGGACCAAGGAAGCCGACGTGGGAGAGATACATGGGGCCACACAGTGACAGAGAAACAGATCAAAACAGCAATGGAGAAATGCTATTGCCGTTATGCGCAGAACATGACCGCGTCGTATCAAATACCTTCTTCCAACACACCAACACAAAAGGAATCAAATTAAAACGTGGTGCAAATGGAATGACCTAAAGACAGCATCTCAAATTGATTTTATCCTTTCCCAAAAGATCGAAACTGAGATACCCAACTACATCATAGATACTGACCACCAACCAGTCATCATGACTATCGACACACCAAACAGGAAACGGCCAGAAGCAAGGAAACGACGAGAAGTCGTGCATGTCAGAAATATAAATGACGGTACCAAAGATAAGGTACATGAACGTAATATGAAAAATGTATTTCCCAAATTGCCCAAACAACCAGAAGACCTTGAAGAGGAATGGAGCCAGTTCAAAGCATATGTGAACAAAGCATTAAAAAAGAGTGCGGCACCAGGAAAACAGGAGGGCAGAAAAGGAAAACAACTATATGGTGGAATGACCAAGTGAAGGAAGCCATACAACTGAAGAAAAAGGCTTTCAAAAAGTGGCAGAAATAAAGTACAGAGGAAGATTACATCCTATAGAGAAAGAAACGCCGCCAAACAACAAGGGTAGTAAAAGAAGCTAAGAACAGATCCTGGACAGTATATTGGAGAACAGCTGTCAACAGAATGTAAAAAAGACCCTAGAGAGTTTAACAAGAGCGTTAAAAGCATGAGGATGCGGGAAGAACCATTTAACTCAACTGAAATAGTCAATGATGAGAATAGAAACCCTATGTTCAGGAAGCCAAAGATTAAAGAAAGAGGGAAACACTATTTCCAGGAGCTGCTGAATCCTACAGGAGAAACAACACCAAACAGCTTCTCACCAAGAGAAACCACTCCAGAACCATCACTACTGCTGAGTGAAACTCAACATGCTATAAAGAAAAGCCCCACAAACAAAGCGCCAGGCGTTGATAACATCACAGCAGAAGAGATCAAGCTATGCGGCCATATTGGTGAACTCTGGCTATGGAGGATATTTAACCTGGCTTGGGCGACAAAAACAACCCCCGATGACTGGAAACGAGCTGTCTTTGTACCTATTTGGAAAAAGAAAGGAAACAAAAGAGACTGTGGAACCTACAGAGGAATATCCCATGTGGGCAAAATGTTTGCCAAGATACTGGAAACGAGAACGAGACCAATTGTAGAGACTCAACTCAGCGAATCCCAGTTTGGCTTCAGGAAAGGCAGGGGCTGTACTGACGTTATCTTTGCATTAAGATAGTTGTGTGAGACTGCCACTGCACATGACAAAGACCTCAATGTCGTCTTCGTGGATCAGGAAAAGGCGTTTGACCGGGTAGATAGATGTCAACTTTGGGAAGTCCTAGAGGATTATGGTGTAAGAGGACAATTGCTGGAGAACATCATACCACTTTATAAAAATAGCCTGTGTGCCGTAAGATCAACAGAAGGACTATCGGACTGGTTCCCCGGCATCATGTCTGGGGTGAGACAAGGGCGTATTCTCTCTCCGCTTCTCTTCATCACTTACATGGATAAGATCACGAAAGCAGCAAATGACAATATCACTGAACTGAATGAGCTTCTATTTGCTGATGACCAGAGTATATTAAATACAGATGAAGAGGAATTACTAGAACACACCACAAAACTAAATGAGGAATGTAAACACCTGAACATGAAAATCTACATCTCAAAAACAGAAGTTATGAAAGTCAGCAGAAACCCAGGGAAACTCAACATTCTTATCGATGGAACTCAGCTCCAACAAGTAGAGGAATTTAAATATTTGGGAAGCATCTTCACACAAGATGGCCGTATGGACAATGAAATAGAAACAAGAACTATGAAGACAAATGCAGTGACCTACCAGCTAGCACCCCTGCTCAGTCACAAGAACATTCCAACCAAAGTGAAATCCCAGCTCATCAATAACATCTTCACACCTACATTAACATACCAGTTCCAAACATGGTCTGTAAACAAGGCACAAGAAAGAAAAATCAATGCATGCAAAAGGAGGTGTCTCCGCAAAACCATCGTCACCAGAAGAGAATGCATAAGAAACGAAACCATACTCTACAAACTGGAATACCGCCAGTAATAAAATTCATAGAGCGTCAAAGAGTCGAATAGTTTGGACATCTGACCAGAATTCCCCAGAAACAGCTAGTTGCTCGAGCTTATAATGCCCGAGAATCCGGCTTCAAATCAAGAGGACGACCAAAAATGGCCTGGCTGGATGGGTTTTAAAAGGTCCTGGAACAACATAACATATCTATCACAGACGCTACACACCTAGCTCAGGACCGAAACTTGCACCTCCCCTCGACATCCTAAGGATACCAGAGGAAGGAAAAAGTAAAAGAAAAAGTAATGTAAATATATTTTAGGTGCTAAAATGTAAAAGTAACGCATTTATGGTGGTAGTGCATTTTGGTGTAATGTTAGAATAGAGACAAAAGCAAAGTATAAAGTGAGAAATTCAATTCTTGAACATTAATTGGTTCCATAAATGGGGTACCAAGGGGTCTAGTACCTTCTGTGTGTCATTTCTTTCTCTGTCTTCTGTACTCTCTCTCTCTCTCTCTCTCTCTCTCTCTCTCTCTCTCTCTCTCTCTCTCTGAGTGTGTATGTGTGTGTGTGTGTGTGTGTTTGTGTCTGTGTATGTATGTATAAAATCATTAACATGAACATGCTCACACAGCACACACACACACTCACACACACACTCACACACACTCACTCACACACACACATACTCACACACTTCCACACTAAAAAGCTATCCGGTTCGATTGTGCTAGAAAAACAACAAACTCAACAAAATCCTTTTTTCTACTCTTTCACAGTGGGCAGTAACGTGATGGAAGAACGTCGTAAGTAGACCTGATTCTGGAACAGTAAATGGAAACTCTTTTCGTTGTGTTGTGCGTTTCTGCTAATAATTCCCCATTTTTGCTAATTCTGTTGAATGGTGATAAGAATGGTGTCTGCAGTAGATTTCACTTAATTAAATGATGCCAGTTCGTCCCAACAGTACTCAAATTATAATTACCTCATAGCGAACATCTATGTTTTTCTGATAAAAGATTTTGTTGTCAAAAATATGTCGGAATCCGGCATCACTCCAGGTTCATAATTATGCGTTGTGATGATACACAGAGAGACAAAAACACACTCGCATGCACGCACGCACGCAGGCACGCACACACACACAGACACACAGACACAAACAAACACATACACACAGACACACACTTGCACTCCAACACACACACACACACACACAGACACACACCTGCACTCCAACTCACACAAAGACACACACACACATACACACATACACACACACACACACACACACTCACATACACGTGCATGCACAAATGCATGCTCGCCAGTACATAAGCTGTTTAATAGTCCGAGAAAAGTGCAAGAAATAAACAAAAGAAATGTTTCTGTTCTAACACAGAGTGGAGAGTAAACTTTACGAAGATGCAAGCTCGGGCTGGAGGGATAAAGGAATTCCTGATTTTGAATATATTGACAAAGTCAGAAAACGTCTTCTTTCTGCTGAAATACAGAAGCCAAACATATTGAGTTTTAATGATGGCAAGTTCGCTCTTGTTCTTTTACCATTTACTACCTAGTCCCTACTGTGTGTGTCTCTGTACATTCTATTTGTGAAAGTTCTTCACTTTGGTCGCCTAAAAATGCCTAGCCACTCAGCTTTCGAATTTGAAAAAAATAGCGGTGGTTCAGAATCATTTAGAAGGTGCACAGTTGTATTAGGGAGTCTGAAGTCATTGTAGTTTAATTTTCAGTTTTTCATTAGTTATGTTTGCCGTTTCGAGAAAACCAAATGTTCGGTCACTCCTGCCCTGAGATCAGGGATGTGTGGCTGAAAGACAGTTGTAAGAAGGAGCAAGGAGAAGCAGTACTTGTGACTGTCTGTGTGTGTGTGTGTGTGTGTGTGTGTGTATGTGCGTGTGTGTTTGTATGTATTTGTGTGTATGTGTTTGTATGTGATTGAACGTATGTTTGTATATGTGTATATGTGTGTGTGTGTGTGTGTGTGTGTGTGTGTGTGTGTGTGTGTGTGTGTGTGTGTGTGTGCTCTCGGAGGTCCCATGTGCAAGAGCGCAATTTAAGCTCTCTTGGTGGTTCTAAAATCGATATAAGAGTTGTGAGTAGGTTTCGGTCCCCACCAAGGCAAAATTCAAAATTTATTCATACCAAAACCTGACAATATTCTAGTTAGTATAAAGACATAAAGAGTACCTTGAAATCTGAACGTGGCTGCCTGAAAGCAAGGGGCCCTACGAAGTATGAAAAGCTGTCACACAGGTAAAAATCAATTGTACTGCAGGTTGAAGAACCAGCAGTCGACTTCCCATAAGGTCTAGAAGAAGAAGAAGAA